TTAACTTTTATAAAGAATATCTCTTTGGATTTGAGACTTTAGTCTTTGCAACTTTACAGATCTTCTTTATTCACCAAGTGCTTGTAACACTCCAAAGAGAAAGGAAAAAATTAAATTGCATCATATGACCCCTTTAACAGTTTCACTACCTTACTGAAATTCGGAATGTGTCGAGGAAGTTTATTGCCACTCACATAAATATCCAGTTGACATATAGCATTTAAGTATTTGCCAAATAGTTGTACATTACATATAGTTTGCATTTCAGACTGCCACAAAGCAGCAAAATTACTCTGGCAACAACGCCTCATTCTGCTGATAAGCAGGAACACGTGCAGTAACGCTCCTTCAGTAATGACAGCCTAGCCCTTCGGGCAGACATTCTTCAGATTTTGGTAGCCCAAAATGAATTTAAGTAGCCCAAATAAAAAAAAGACATCGACTGAACTTCACTGCGGACAAATCAGCATGATTAAAAACTTCAGTGATTGCTTTTTTTTCTTCTAATAACAAGTCAAGAGAGTAGAACCCACGGCTCGGATCATATTGCATTATCATATCAGATTTTGAGTAACAGATCGGATCATTTTGCAAATGAGCAAAAAAAAAAAAGGTTCTTTATTATTTAAATAACAGAATACTTCTTTGATAACACAGCAAAAATAGTAGCATATAGGTATGTAACGATTCACTCAAGTCACGATGCGATTCACGATACTGATTTCACAATACAATTTTCTAAAGACAAATTATAAATGAAAAGACCTGTGTCCTTTTATAATTTCTCCAACAAAATGCTGCACATTTCTTTGTGAAATTGAACTATGTCAAATAATAAAACTAACTTGAATTTTTTAAACAAATACCACACGATCCAAACAAAGATGCTAAATACATGTTATTTAGATTGCAATTAGATTGTATAATTTCGAAATTTGAAGCAAAAACAGAATGGTCTAATTTTAGTTTTGTGAATAAGGGTGCTTTCACACCTGTAGATCGATTGCTTTGTTCCTAAACAGGATTCAAATTATTACAATGTTACGTCTGTAATGCTCACTAAGGCTCACCATTTATTCGATCAAAAATACTGTAAAACAGCAATATTGTAAAATATTATTACCATTTAAAATAAGAAATGTCTATTTTAATACATTTTAAAACATATTTTTTCCCTTGATGGCAAAGCTGAATTTTCAGCAGTCAATACTCCAGTCTTCAGTGTCATATGATCCTTCACAAATCATTCTAATATGCTTGATTTGGTGCTCAATTAGTATCAGTTATTATTGGTCTGCAAATATTAATGATAATTCTTATGCAATGTTGAACAGTTGCAACAAATAGAAAAGAGTTATTTTAAATTTAAATAATTTTTCACAATATTACTGTTATTAATATTATAATATTACTGTTAGCAAGAGACTTCTTTAAAAACAAACAAAAAAAAACCAAACAATTATTCAAAACTTTTTACTGGTCTTTAGCCTATACATACATAGTAATAAATACATAGCTTGTGCTATTAATTAGTCTTTTTTTTTTCTTCCCATGTGGGTTTTGGTGGCAGTTTTGTATGATCTTTTTTTTTTCTTTTTCTTTTTTAATTTTAGCTAGCAAACAAAGTAAATTTGTGTAGCTTAGTGATTAAAGTTTGGGTCTGGGGACTGAAAGGTTAAAGAGCAGGTCATATGGGTTTTTGAAAAATATATTTTTTCTGCCTGTTACCTATAAACGTCACAAGGTAACACATTTACATAATCCCCGCCTGCCCGCGAAATACGAACACTCTGACCTGCCCACAAACACTTCCGCTAGTTAGTGTGTTTACATCAGGTCGAGAAGACGCTGTGTTCTGCGTTGTGGAAGCAAGTTTGTTTTGTTTTTATTGCTGAAAGATGATTTATTGCCACATACAAAGTTTAAACTTACCACTGAGAAACGTCCTGATCAAGTCATGCTTGCAATGGAGTTTCCGGTTGAGCGACTGCATCGGTATCATCCTCAGACTCGGACTCGAATTGATGAGGTAATATCGATGCCATTTTTGTAAGCTTATAGCATCTTTGTTTACAAGTAATCCTCCGGAGCAAAAGATGTTAATGGGCGTTTCGTTTCCGACACACATTGTATACGGAAAGACCAGTCACAACAGACTTGGCCAGCTGACCAATCAGAGCAAAGTAGACTAATGGAAAGGAGGAGTTTACAGACCTTAAGCCCAGAACTAGGGATGTTCATTTTAAATGAACGGTTAACCGTTAAACGACCGCAAGAATTTTGACTGATTAATACAATCAGTTAAACGGTTTAAAAAGTAATTTATTTTTCAGTAATTTATCAAAATATTTAAAAAGGTTTGCTGCATGGTTAAAATACTCTACATGTATAAAAAATAGTTTTTTTAGAGAAAAAAATATATAAGTCGCGTATAAGTCGCATTTTATTATTTCATTCAGAAATAGGCCTAATGCCGACGCGAAATGTTTACAAACATTAGGGCTGTGCAATTAATTGCATGCGATTGTCATGCGCATCTTGTCAGTAAAGGCGGTCCCGTGATTAGTAGTAAATCTCCATCACCTGCTTTCAGATTGAGC